CTCGAGACCCCTGTGAGCTTTTGGAATAAAATTTTACATTGCAACTCCCTGTGGCCTAAGGAAGACTCTTTTGATTTTGAGTTCAAAAGGTTAAAGTTCAAGATCGTAAATTTATACATTCTGTCTTTGTGTAACACTATCCTCTCCAAGCAATATTTCAAGAAGAGTTTCCATTTAACATGTTGAAATACAGCTGTAGCTTTATGGTGTTCATTATGTGTACGGGGGTGGATGTGTAACTTTCTTGTGATTGTAACGGAAAAAAGGAAAAACCTTGTAATTGTTAATATAGATGTATATATACTATAATACAAACATAACTAAAGCACCCTATGTATCAGTCCTATAAAATGAATATCTATGATTTGTATATACGTTCTTGGTACACGTACCTCGAGACAGTTTCTGCGGAACAACACCTATTTCCTTCAATATTCAAGCACACGACCTTTACATCTTGATCTACAATAATCGAGGTCAAGGGGGCAATGACAATTTGACACTCTCAGCTCTTTCCCTGTTTGTATGTTTGTTTTATAAAGGAAAATCACCCTTCAAACGTGCCATTTTGAACCTATTTCTGTTGAAAAAAGAAAATGCCTCAAATTAATGATGTCATATTTGCAGAATGGTCAACCTTTATGCCATACTCTTTCCTGAGTTATCGAGTCATTTATTTAACTAATATTTAAGCCAGATTTAAAACCTTTTGATGTCATTACATTTTTCGGGCATAATAAAGCTAAACCATACCTTCTTTATTCAGTTTGTAATAATGCATTATTGCATTTTGATCATTCATTTTAGAGTAGGTGTTTGGCATGAAATCTAATGTTCTAATGCTTTTATAGGAGACGGGAGAATAGATAGCCCGAGGTGCAATGCTGCACTTATACTTTCACTGAAAATGACAGCAAGAAAATTTTCTCAGTAAAAGCAGTGGACAAAAGAGAAACAGAGAGAAAAAGTGCAAACCTTGAGAAAGAAGGATTCATTAGAGGAATACAATAAAGAGGGTTACAAGATAAAGTTGTTACTTATGCTCTCCTCCAGAAAGGTGCCATGATGAGGGAATTTTCACTTCATTTTGAATACCAATATAACATGTATATAACCTTTATAGTTTTTAACATAATTATGTTTTACTTGTTTTCTTTGATTTAATGACTTGCAATACAAATGTGATCAATAAAATCCTATTTCAACTCTTTACCTTATTCCTGAATGGTATATTGGGTAAATTTGATGAAAAAGTACACGATTTGCAGCGGTATTGCCGTTTTCATATGTTCATTTGAAAATTGATACATTCACCCCGTCACATTTGAAAAAAAAATTAAAATAGTAGCCTATATTCCTTTATATGTAATGTATTTTAATTTTAATTTTATGGGCCTGACAGTTATATATGATGTCCCTTGACTGGTCAGTTTGTCGGAGCATGTAGAAATGAAATCATCTTTACAATGGTAAACAGTTTAGAGAACCATCTTGATATAATCTCTCTGTTAATTACAGTACTGAGTAGTTCTAGTGTTTAAGGACATCTGAAAATGCAGCAGTGGAGTCCTCCTTTCTTTTTTGACAGGTATCCCTCCAAAAGCTTCCAATTCTTTCAGTTTTAGATCGTTATGTTCTGTTGCTCTGTTGGTACTTGGTTTTGCTGTAGAGCCTTTAGAGGTGGTTTACTTTTCTGTGTTTTCTTTGTCTTTTTCTGCTCCCATCGTCATTTTCTTTCTCAATTTTTTCCTCTTTTTCCACTCTCATTTCATCCGACAATTTTCTCATATTTTAGAATAAAGTTGAAGTTTCTTTTTGTTGACATTTTGGAACTACTTCTTCTTTAATTTGTTAAATATATCCACGGCCCTTTTGCAGACGTAAAATTAAAACTTTTCTGTGCAAATATACAGCTTCGGCGGATTTCTGTATTTTGAGTGTCTGTTGTGAGTACGATTTTGCATTCTCTAGTATATTTATCTAATGAATATACTGAGCTCGGATTAACAATTTTTATACCTCCGCAAACGAAGTGGGGGGGGGGTTTAAATAGGAATCGGCTTGTCTGTCTGTCTGTGCAAACGTGTTTGGTCCATATCTTTTCATACGCCCGTCTTAAAAGGGGACGTTTTATGTTATAGGCTTTGTGTCCATCAGTCTGTTGGCTTTTTCGTTTCCGGTTCATAACTTTAATATATTCTATTAGGCCTAAGGTTATCGAACTGTCATCTAATGCATCTTGTGTAGAAGGTGTGTCGCTCACAAAAAGTAGGTGGTTTTAACCTTTAATTAAGAAGTTATAGCTAAATATGGAAAAATCCTTTCCGGCCTATAACTGGAAAACTATAAGTCATAAATCCTTAAACTTGGCCGGTTTATGCATTTTAGGTAGAAAGGGTGTCGCAACCAATTTCAAGGTCACTGTGACCTTTAATTTAAGTGAAATTTGAAAAAAAAATTATTTAAAAAACAAAGAATACAGCTGATTGTCAGCACTGTATACGTATGTGTAATATAAACAGAGGAAAACAGTTCGTCTTTATTCGCTGACACGTTTATGACGTCATAATGCACTGGATGCCTGAAAGTAGGTCAATCAATGTTTACATCAGTCGATTGTTAACATCAAATGATTGTTGTACCGCATAACTATCTGACAGACTTTTTTTCACATTCGCATTCTCATAGTGTTTTTTTCATATACTGTCGTAATGGTCGACGAATTACCTGACAAATCCCTCCAGATTAGGTCGATAAGACAGGCTATGTCTAGCAGACGTCTGGAAAGATGGAGGTCAGGGAGATCAAGGTTTGTTGAGATAGGTCGTACACGGATGAGTCGGACTGTGGTACCACACTCCTCCCCTCCTTGTAGAACCAACGGAATCCATTGGCGAATTTTATCAATCAGTAATGATATTTGAAAATAAATCCACCCCCCAATATTGTACAAAATCATATAAATGTCAATTTTAGCAAGAGTACAAAAATATATACTGAACAAAAAAAGAAACGCATAATCAGAATAATATGAAATTCTAAGTTTTCAGTGTAAACCTTATATTATTTAAGCGATTTTAGAGTGTGTTGTGATAAAAATCAATATTGTAAATTGAAAAGTCAAGTTTTCATTGCCCCCAAATTCAAGGGGCATATCAATATGTACTGTGCAAAGTCTCAGTGCTAGTGGATTTCCAATGTACGGATATTGTGGAGGAATAACATCTCATTTCAGTGGCTTGCAAACAATTTATACATTTTTATGCAGATTTTATCATCCAGCAATTATAGCAGCAGTTTTACAGCAAGTTCTAAATCGCATGAAGTGATGAAGGGGGGGGGGGGGTGTCTGACGGTCCAGTCTGGTCGTGGTTACATGCGGATGGCATGATAGTGGTCTTCGGACGTTAGTTTTAAGGTTTCAAAGCCTATTGATTTATTTCAAATACAGTTGCAACTTCCTGTTGCGTAGCTCCATTTAGTATCATCGCTAGCCTGGTTGTATTCATCTTTGTTTGGGCGTGGCATTGCAGTATCAACACTGCAATCAAATGTTAAATATGGGTTTAATAGAAGTGTGAAAAGTTTCTCTAAATCCAAAATATGAATGAAAATAGACAACTGATTTAGAAGAAATCATGAAAAACACTACTTTCATAAACATGTTTAATCAAGGGAGATAATTCAACACTTGGGTTTTAAAACCCCATGTTGTCCTTTAAATAGGTCACAGGCATCCATTGATATAAACAAGAAACATATTGACGCAAGCGTCAAAAATCGGCCGCAAACAAATTACTAGTAATTATTCCTTTGATAAAGTAATTCGAAACTGAAATTTGCGTGATCTGTTTTTAAAATTTCTTATATTTATCTGTTAAAATATCCTCGTAACATGAAATACTTGCATGAGACATTGTCGATTTTCTTCATGCAAAATACATGTACAATATTATATGTGTAAGCAAACTGCCCATAGACCTCTGCGTCCGTACAAACGAATTTGATGTTTAAGTAATTATTACATAAAAGTACAAAACTAAAGTTTAAACTTAGCTATAGTTTTACTTTAATTTGAACGGAACAAATATGAAATATGTGGGACTCTCTTAGAGGATTTTAACAACCCCCCAAATCCATCTACCGGTAGATCCACCACTACATTTCTTCTTTCAGTCTCTTTGTTTTGGTGTTGAGATGTGACGGGAAAATGCTTGGCACATTGTAAAAACGCGCTTTACCCTAGTCTCATGGACAAAATTGTCGAATGGTTCTGTGCTTTTAAGAAATCAATATTTCATAAAATTTTTGAAAAATTTCCATAGGAAATGTATAAATATACACGGCATTTTAAAATAAGTACAACAAATCCTGTCTAGGCTGTTTAAAAAGAGAAAGTAAAATTGTTGATATACAATGTGGTCTTTGTTTTAGACTATGCCTACATCAGACACTTCGTGCTAATTTTCTCCGCACTTCAGTATTGTCAGAGTTTGTCGATCAGGATTGGATGAAATATTTACCCAATTATTTATAAAAATTTTATTTTATGATTATTGTGCTTTTTGTTAAACATTTAGAATGTCTTTGTTCAATATTCTATACTATGAATGTTATTAAATATTTTATTCAAATTGTTCTAACTCCCCAGAAACGCACGGCGACTTAAAACTTTCATATCAACTAACCGACCGCCTCCTGGCGGCCGGTAAAAATAGTTGTTTCATGTACATTCTAAAAATTTCTTTGACAAGTAAAACAATATGCGTTTCTTTTTTTGTTGAGTATACATACAAATACTGCCCAATCATGACTACTTGTCAACAAAGTACCGGTGAGAGACATAATCCCTTCACATATACATGTTGAAAAATGTAGAGTAGTCATGAAAAATATACAATGCATTTATACACTTAACAAAAATTGCTTTTTCTGAAGTAATTAATATATACATATATAGAAAATACACTATAAAACTGATTAACATAATGAGAAAAAAATTATAATCTGTAGAACTGCCTGGCATTGTTGTTACATGTCTCCAGGATAAATGAAACTGGTGTGTTGCGGATAGAAGCAACTTGTGCAGCGAGAGATGCTAGGTTCCAGGGGTGGTTCATCTTGCATCCAGGAGCTGGTGATAAATATGGAGCATCTGTCTCCAACAACAAGCGCTCAACTGGGATCCTGGCCACCAGATTTGGGACCTGCGCTGATCTCATTGTGACGCCAAAATTCACTGCAGGCAATTCAATCTCCCACTGGCATAGCTCCTCCACAGAACCTGCGAAGCAATGTCGATGGAAATCATGGTGTGTCATGTCCATCATACGGATCATGTCCAAGGTGCGTTTTGCTGCCTCACCGGATCCATCATCCCTGCAGTGTAGAAATACAGGCTTACCGACATCTCTTGCCAAGTTAATCATTCTATTTTCTGGAAAATAAGTTATATGAATGAAATTAAAATAATAGAATAAAATAACTTATTTATAGATTGATTGTATATTGTTTAACGTACCTCTCGAGAATTTTTCACTCATATGGAGACGTCACCGTATGCCGGTGAAGACTTCAAATTTTGACCTTTACTCGGCACTCAGGGCCATTGAGCAGTGAGGGATCTTTATCGTGCCAACGCCTGCCGCTGACACGGGGCCTCGGTTTTTAAGGTCTTATTTATAGAAAGTAACCTTCAAAGATAAAAATTCAAGAAACTTTAACCTAAAATAGTTCTTTTGAATCGGGTAACTAAATATAATGCATAAAATCATGCAACACTAATAATTAGTAGTACAGCACCAATGAACGCAACTCTGAAGTTTTCCAAAATTTAAAATGCTCTGAAATGGACCTGGGTAATCTCAAAGTACTTCCGGGTAGTTTTAACTGTGATAGTCTTAAATCAACTAATTCTAAATAACTATCAAGGGGAAATAATCTGTTGCATACTTGGGTATAAAGTTTGCTAACAACCCTTCAATACACAAAAGTAAACAATGTATGTTGATTTAAGATATTTATAGGATTAGTAGGTTTCTAACATTTGATCTTTAAAAAGCAGGATTGGATAGAAATAGTGATAAAATTCAAATCCCAGCTTTGAAAAAGAAAGGCTTATTTTAAACATTTGAGTTTTAATTCGCTGAAATGACAGTTTGTTGCGGATCAGACAATTTATATTTGCATGTCATAGCATTTTTTTTTCAAAAAACACTTCTCAACTTCATCACTTCTACAAACCAAGAAAACCCCGTTTTTGTGAAATAAAAAAAATTGATTTAAATATTTAATTAAACAGATTGCGAGAACTTATTTTCATTTACCAAAGTGTTAATGGACACACTTCCTTTGTATAAGAGGGGGATCAAATGGGAGGAAGTGAATGGTTGTTATAAGCAAGATAATTAAGTAGGACATAATTCTAACAAACATATAAAAAATACAGTGATTTACTCCCATTAAAGCCTTCAACAAAGATTATTAGAACAGAATCAAGTCTGAACTTTAATACCATCTTCATATCTAAATAATCATGTAAACATTCTAATCATTCCTTGAAAGTTAATATCCAATATAGTGTACCTGCTCAATTACCACAGGAAAATTGTTCAAACCCATAAGAATTCGATATTTCTGAACAAATCAAGTCTGTTTAGTGTTAAAAAAACACTGGTCCCGCCTTTTATTATAATGGTATACAGGGATTGCCCGACACCAGAGTCAATTAAAACATTGGAATCAGAATTTCTTCGTATTGAAGTGATTAAAAAAACAGCATTCAACACGTGCTTTTTTTTGTTGAAAACCTCAAAACTAAGTCACAAAACATGGTCTTTTCCGGAATAACGCGGAAAGGTGCGCTCACTGAAGGGGGCTTTGCTAGTTTCCTTCCTCTGGGACTCGAAGAAGTGCCCCAGGTCCTTCAGTTTTTCGATTGTTTTTCCCTGCTTTATGGATGCCCCCTGGGATGCCGCACTGTCTCCGTTTGTTGTTAGGTGTGATGTTGTAAGAGGGTCTTCATCCTTGTTCAGTTATTCTATACATTTAGCTGCCCACTGTTTTTCATTACCAACGTTTGTCTGTTGTGTAAGATTGGCAGTGCATCATGTGTGCCTGGGACAGGTAACTTGTTTGCTTTTTCCTCTCAAAAAGTCTCCCTTCTTGCAAAACATGTCGCCACAAAACACTAAAATAATCTTTTTCTCACTATTAACATTTTAACACATAGTATAAAGTCTCTTGTGTACCTGCTTGGAAAGGTGTTTTCCGTAGTGCACTCAATGTAGAGTTGTTGTTCTGGCCTCCCCATCTGCTCGAATTGATGAATTACCAGGATTGGTTGATTGTATATTGTTTAACGTCCCACTCCAGAATATTTCACTGATATGGAGACGTCACCATTGCCGGTGAAGGGCTGCAAATTTAGGCCTATGCTCGGCACTCAGGGCCATTGAGCAGGGAGGGATCTTTATCGTGCCACACCTGCTGTGACACGGGGGCTCGGTTTATACAGTCTCATCCGAAGGACCGCCCCAATTAGTCGCCTTTTACGATAAGAAAAGGGTACTGAGGACGTAGAATTTCCAGGAAGTGAGCACTAAGAGATTTTTTTTTCTTTCAAAGATTTCTTTATATTGGTCATACTCTTTCTGTTCACAGAACTAATATTTTCCCCCACTTTATTAGCAGTGTCCTGCGTGGGGCTTGCTAACGCTTGGAGGATATTGGTTGTCAGAAGCATTCCTCGCATCCCTTCGGTAATCAGGCTGGTACCCATACGCCCATAGGAATGGTTACATTGAGGCGAGGAGCCTTCATTCCTGGTCATTTAGATGTTTCTTTCTGATGGTGACTTTGGTAGCCACAGGTGGAGCACTGTCGAGAGGATATCCAGACAAGACCCCTCTTCTGCTCTAGAGTATACGTAGTCCCAGGCCAGAGAACTATTACAGGTTGGTTGGTTTTCTTTGTGGTGTCTAAAAGCGACATTCCATAGTTCAGATGTTTTTCTTGTGTAAAAGTCTGCAAATTTTACAACATGGTACTTAATCAGTATAAGGATATGGAAATAACGAACAGTATTCAATCTCAACGTCCATTAAACAAATATACAAAACAAGATTGTTTATAGCTTTTACCTCACTTCCTATTGGCCTTAAAATCGTCATACATATACTATTGTCCTTTCACTGTGCATGACATTTTCCGCACTGACATACTCAACAGCAGGTCTTTCTAATTATCTGTATGCTTTCTCCTTGATGTTTTAATTGTGGTAATGTTTCTTTTGAGAAAGCCATTAGTGCCGTTTCCTTAAGCGTTGATGTTATTTATGAATAAAGTCCATTTCAAATCTTCAAATTCTATTTTTTAAAATCTTCGTAGGTGGAATTCCGGGTTGGTAGATGGAGAGTATTTGTGCATGTTACTGTTTTGGACAGTTTATCTTGCAAAATGCAAATGGATGGTTCGGATTACACCCAAGTGGTGGGGGCTTCTTTGCTCCTGTCGGAAAATGAACGATCTTTGAAAAAGTCAATGATGTATCGCCTAAAAAAAGTAAACATGAAAGTACACACTGTCATGAAAATATCTACAGTTGAACTTCGGTGTCTTGAATCCAATACCTTAAATACCATGAATAGGAAGTCCCAAGTACATATTCTTTCATTTTTTCCATGATATCCTGAAGTATTTTCTCAGTCCTGAAGTTTGACTGTATTTTATGTATACTGTTTGCTCTGTACATTCCAAACGGACTGCACAAGGTTGAGAAAAGTAAGATGTGAATGTGTACAGTAGGTGATTTTTGCACTACACATTTATCAAGCCCTATGGAAATGTAGTCATAAGTTAATGAATTTAACGGATTACCTTCCACCTCTTCCAGAAAGACTCTCCACGAACCAGGGACTACATTCTGTGCATTTCTGTTGTTAAAACCTTTTTCTGCAAGCTAATATTCAAGACGACTTTTAAAAATTCAACCGAAAATTCGATCCTCTTGTATATGAACAGTACATGTAAACTTTGAAAATTTTTACAACAGGGTCGGAAAGTCTCGTCATGTGACTCGCTAGATATAACCTGAAAACTTACATCCGAGCAGTTGCCTAGAATGGTGTTATTAATAATGTACATGATATGTTTTATTGCAATGAAAAATACTTGTATCATGATGAACCAACATAATGAGAACGTACACATATGTGTACAGTCAAGTATAGGATCTCTATATTTGCTATATCGGAAAATGACATGAAGTTGTAAAAGGACAAATGTTAAATATATCGTGTTGTTTACGTACCTCCAACACAAAATGTTGTAACCTGTAATTCAGCATTTCTGCGTTCATTTCTTTCATGTAAGGTACATCATCTCAAGATGCGCGTCATTTATGAAACATTTCAACACACATTTATGAAACATTTCAACACACCATTTCGTATTTCTCCCCGTATAAGGATTTGTTTGAGAGTCAATCAGCTGCCGGAAATCATCATCCGACACAGTTTCAGCGAACCTTCGATTCTGTGATTCGCTCGGCCCAACACATTCAAAAGTTTCCATTTACATGTCACCATCATTTGGATCTATTGAATTCTCCCTCGAGAAAATACCCAAGTCAAAATTTAAAGTCGAAAAATCAATAGGTGTAGAATCTTCTTCCTTGAGGTACACATCGTTAAATTCTTAAATTTTTAGGTTTCCTAGCTGGCCTAATTTTCAATTTTGATTTCCAGTTTTACCGTATCTAAAATTAGGATAACAAAAATCATACCCGTCATCCATCGCTGTCGATGTAGAAATATTCGAGAAAAACAGCGGTCTATACTTTCGAATCACGTGCTCTTTTTTCATTGGTCATGAAATGGTATGACGAAATTTTCATAAAGCAGTGGGTGGGAATATAGGCCTGCCAAGATGAATATGCCTTATGCACGTGAAATTGATCGATCATGGTTATTCTCAGTGCGTGAGAACAATGATAAAAAACATATAGAGTATCGTTTAACTCGTGCATCTTCAGATATCAGACTCGGGGGGGGGGGGGGGGCAAGCCCCCTTGTCTGATAATCTGAAGATACACTCGTTAAAAAGTACTTTATATGTTATTTATACAGCATATGTCTGGAAACGTAAATTGTGAACTTAGGGAGCTGCCTATCCATTTAACCAACTTGAAAATCAATAATCGCAGATAAAATCTACAATATAAAGTATTTCATTTTTCAGCGAATTTAAATAATCATGTATTAAATAGATTCTGAAAGTTTCAGCTCGGTCGATAAAGTATGGGTCGGAAATATGAAAAACCTCGATCTACCCCGACATTTAATTTGCCCTGGCCCCGGTTTGCCTACCCATTTTACCAACACCCCCCCCCCAACAAAAAATAATATAGTTAACTATAATTAACTCTATTTAACTATAGCTAACTATAGTAAACCAAAGTATCAAATTTTTGTCAAAATTTTTCAAAGTGTCAAAGTTTTCGCCAAAGTTTTTCAAAGTGCCCAAGTTTTCGTCAAAGTTTTTCAAAGTGTCAAAGTTATCACTATGGTAAATCAAAGTTTTCAAAGTGTCAAATTTATAACTTTAGTAAACTATAGTTAACTTTAGTATTTTTTCTTAGGGTCATGATAAAGTGCTCGCTCAGCACGTACTGATTGAAACCTATTATGCCGTGTACCTTGAGGTTAGTCTAAATTTAGAGGTAATGTGCCACAAAAAACTGGTTTCCTTTGAAAGCTTCTCGGCTTTATCCTGTTATCTGCAAATCTTTATTTATACACACATATTAAAAGAAAGCAATTGTCAAATGAAGTTTACAAAAAACACAGAAAAGAAATTTGAAAACAATCCTGATCCAATTCAAAAATTTACTGAAATACTAATAAATACTGCAAATGAATGCATACCTAAAACCTCGACAAATTCTACTAGAATTAAAAAACCATGGTTTACAGAAGAATGTAGTGATGCTATTAAAGCTCGCAAAAAAGCAGAAAGACAGTTTAATAGATTACCAACATCTCTAAATTTAAGCAATTTCCGTATATTTAGAGCAAAAGCTCGAAGAACTATAAATTTTAATAAACGAAAATCTTGGAAAAAGTTCGTGTCCAACCTTAATTCACATACTCCTATCAATAAGGTTTGGAACGCAATAAGGAAAATTAAAGGAAAAGGTCCTGAAAAATATCAGCATCTCAAGGTTGGAAATCAAATTATTACGGATAAAAAACAAATATCCAATGAAATAGCTAGTACAATTCATAAAAATTCATCCACCAAAAATGTGAGCGCTAAATTTAGTAAACATAAAACATCTCAAGAAAATAAAACATTAAATTTTGCATCTGAAAACAATGAATGTTATAATCAGCCATTTAGTATTGACGAACTTCAAAAATCCTTAGAAAAGTCTCATGATACAGCTGTAGGACCAGATCAGATTCATTACCAAATAATTAAACACCTCCCTTTTAACAGCAAAGAGTGTCTTTTGAAAATTTTTAATAAAATTTGGGAGCGAGGTCAATTTCCACCTTCCTGGACCCAAGCTACTATTATTCCTATTCCAAAACCTGGAAAGAATCATACGGATCCAAATAATTATCGACCAATTGCTTTAACAAGCTGCTTGTGTAAAACCATGGAAAGGATGATTAATGAACGCCTCATATGGTTTCTTGAAACAAATAATATTCTATCTAATATACAATGTGGTTTTAGAAAAAACCGAAGCACAATTGACCAGTTGGTAAGACTGGAAACCTATATTCGAGATGCTTTTATCAAAAATGAGCATGTTGTATCTGTGTTTTTTGATTTGGAAAAGGCATATGATACTACATGGAGACATGGCATTTTAGAAGATCTAGACAATATGGGCCTAAAAGGGCATTTACCAATTTTTGTTAAGAATTTTTTAAATGATAGACATTTTAAAGTTCGCTTGGGGTCTACTTATTCGGAAAGCTTTGAACAGGAAATGGGTGTACCACAAGGTAGTATTTTATCAGTCACTTTATTTAGTATAAAAATTAACAGCTTAGCTGAAGTACTGAAAAACGATATGCATGGAAGTTTATATGTGGATGATTTTGTTCTTTGTTATAAAGCTAAAAATATGAATTATATTGAGCGAAAATTACAGTCTTGCCTAAATAAAATTCAAGACTGGGCTTATACAAATGGATTCAAGTTTTCAAAAAGTAAAACCGCCTGTGTGCATTTCTGCTCTAAACGGAAGGCTCATGACGAACCAAATTTACTGCTAGATGGAAATCCTATAAAAGTTGCTAAGGAGATAAAATTTTTAGGTATAATTTTTGATAGTAAACTTTCATTTGTATCACATATTAAAATGCTAAAAGAAAAATGCACAAAGGCCTTAGATGTTATTAAAGTAATTGCAAATACAAAATGGGGGGGCAGATAAAGATACTCTTTTAAAATTATATCGTTCTTTAGTTAGATCCAAGTTAGATTATGGCTGTTTTGTGTATGGCTCTGCAAGAACTTCATACGTAAAAGCTCTTGATGCAATACACCATCAAGGCCTCCGACTGTGCTTGGGAGCTTTTCGAACTTCTCCTAAAGACAGTCTTTATGTTGAGGCAAACGAACCGCCTCTTGACTTACGAAGAATTAAACTTACGTTGCAATATATTTTGAAATTAAAAGCAAATGTTAATAATCCCGCTTATAATTGTGTTTTTCATCCGCAGTACGAAGACTTGTATCATAAGAGAAAATCATGTGTAAAACCCCTTGGTTTAAGATCTAAAAAACATATCAGAGATTCTGAATTACCTTTGG